GTCCCGTGGGGGTCCTGTGAATGCTGCTGTCGACTATCTAGCAGCATGCCGGCAACGTTCTTCTGCTGCTTGTCGCGCAAGGAACACATATTTGTGATACCTACCTACCTGCCAGCCAGGTATGGAACGAAGATATCGGTAAGGGTTCCGGAACCAGGAACCGCTTGGTGTGATATACAGCAGGGACCAAGCGTCGAGTGGTGCGAGGGACAAAGCTCTGACCTACCTAAGGTTAGGTGGTCACCGTACCCACCGAGAACACCGTCTTCCCGTACAACGGTGCTGGAAGCTAGGTTAGCTGTGACTGAACGAGGACACTACTGACTACTGCTTTGCTTCGTCATACCTAGTTCCGCCTGCCCCGAGCCTATGTAAGTGCAAGATCCTGGAGACCCGTCTATCGACACTAGATACTGAGGAGTTAGGTCAGGTCAAGTCTGGCAATGAATGGGGAGGTGAGTCGACCGCTCGCACTGGATCTACAACAGAAACCAACGAACCCCTGCCGCCTGCCAAGCGATGCACCGGCGATCATGCACCACACGACAAACCTCCTGAGTCCTATCTATCTACATATCCACATACATGCATACATGCACATATTTTTCCCATTTTTCTGATCCCACAGCGACGATTCTTTATCACATACATCCACTGGGCTGAAGCGGAATTCTCAAGTGAAACGTCATGCGTCAGGAAAGCTATACTGCTACGAATTTCAGGTAGGTCGGGTGAAGCTTCAACTATTACGACATTTTTTCAATCTTTCTGCATACTAAACTTAACCTTTGCAATATGAAGAAAAGGACATGTTTCAAGTTTGTGTGAAATCCAAGGTAACATCGGCTAGTAATGTCTGTCTGACGTCAATGAAGCGAAGATCATTCAAAACTTCCTTCCTACTCATGATCGACAGTTAGATAAACCAACTCTTTAGGAAATCGATGATGGTAGGATCACGATCAACTACCTGAAAGTTAAAGCCCTCACCTCACAATTCACATGCATGCACAATCAGGGGTGTGGGGTTAAAACTTCTCTCTCTCTCTTATTCCGCCCCTGCGGGGGAGAAGTTGGTGCGTGGGGGGAGAGAGTTGGGAATTGGAGTTGAGATGCAAAGTTTTGGCACGTATTTACATGATCGACGTATGTGATGTCCTGCGCTGCTTGCCTGCATATACATATATATGTACGTATGTGGCAGATAAAACAAGAAAAGCAAGGCCGGTCGGTAGGTTACAGCTGTACCGGTACGTAACCTTAGTATGTACCGTACTGTACCGTCTACCTCCCGGCCGGCGCAAGTTCGGTATGTGCCGCATATTTACTGGGAAGTAAATAATATCTAGATAGAGCATAATGGGAGGACGGAATTGCGGCAAAGGCTTAGGCGGGGGCGGGCTTTTTCTCATGCTCTCCGGAAATCGGCATTTCAGGCATTGCCGCCTCGAACGATAACAACATCACTTACTTACTTATTTAACCTACCCTGTGACACAAAACAACAAAACATGCCCTTGCTTGGCTGGCTGGCTGAGCCTGCACAATGTTGAGGTGCGCAATATTTCTTTCTCCTCAAATGGCTCTGAAACAGATTAATTGAAACGTCCAATATCACGATGTATGTATTTACTAGTGTTGATTTCGTGACGCGGCCCCGAACCGGAGTCCCGACCCCGACCGACTGTGCCTTTTTGTCGGTGTCCTGTATTTTTTCCCTTTCTTTCTTTCTTTTGCCGGATTTTAACACCGAAACGCCACACTACACCTTATCTAGAAAATCAATGCCGGTTACCCCTGTTCCCTTTTTTTTCTTATAATTTTTTTTAAATATTGCTTACCTGAGCATATATATTTGTTTCTTTCTGTCGTTCAACACTTGCATAACCGTAAACCTGTATTTGAAGAAAAAGGAGTCAAACTACCGGCATGTCGTAAATTGAATTTTTTTTCTGCTTTCTGCTTTTTTGTTTTTATCGCCTTCCCAAAGTTTTATCGCCTTCCCGAAGACAGAGCGCGCGCGCGCGGTCTTCTCTCGGTATTGTTCGTTCTTGTAATCCCAGCTTCGGAGGTGGCTACCCTACCTTAACCTACCCCCTGTATATGTATGTATGTGTGGCAATTGAAGGTGGCTGATAAAAACTGAATTTTCCCCTTTGTCTCATTTTCCCTCTAACACAACTTTGTTTTACGATGGCAAATCAATATTTCATTTTATTTTTTTGCAATGGCGGTAAACAAAAATTGCGGCTCTGGTAGGTCTGACAAACATTACACAACAGATTCTTGCTTGCAACGTAACCTAACTTTTTGGGACAAAACCAAACAACATGCATGCATGCATACTTGTACAGTGAAGAAAGTAAAAAAAAATCTTTCTGGGTCGAATCGAGTCACAGGGTATGTGTGATTGACTGGGTTGCGCAAACATGGAGAAAGAATTTTCTCGAGGAGGAAAAAATACTTTGAAATTTATTTTTGCCATCGCTGAAGCCTTCAGATGAAAAGAATGAATAGATTTTAGCCACCTTGAACAAGAATGAGACAGGCAGTAAGTAACGAACTGCCTTGTTTTCCAGCATACAAGGCTTCAGTTTACCGCCGTGTGCTATTATATCCTATCCAAGTAACCTAACCACGAGGATGCTGGTGATATTGTGTAACTAAGGCCGAGCAGTAAGTGGGAGCATCGGTAGAGCTTGCTATGCAGGTTTATTCTTATAGATATTAAACTCTTGAAACAATCAGCACCACGCGAGACAGGCTTTCAGTTGCTAGTCTAGTCTGATCTGTTAAAGCCTTCACTTGTTTACAAGGCTTTCAACCACTGGCGTTGTACTACGTCGGCTCGCTCGTTCCTTGGTGTTACCAGGTAAACTGGGGATTGGGGGCGGGCACCAAAAATAGGTAGAGTAAGTAGGTTAGCTTTGGTGAGGATGGTCTAGGTTTAGCAAAATCCGCATCCAGATACCAAAGCTAGCTACCCTGGCCACGAGAAAATAACCTACAGCATACTGGGTCTGTCTATCTATCAATCTGCTTGCCCACTGCGGACTCCATTCCGATGTCGTCTCCCCCGAGATAAAACAAGATCCAAATGTCTCGACATCGAGGTGTATGTACATAGGGACTGTGTACGAGGAAACACATACGAGGCGGTAAGGGTTGTGTTACCGAGGTCATGCTTTCCGCAAAATGTAGATAGGTTACGTGTACGTGCGTCTCCCTGCCTGCAACTTACGTGAGAAAATATTGGCCGGATAAACAGCTCCTCCTTTCCTACCTAGCTTTCAGCTCTTATCGAGCATCTAGACCGCTATATCGACCTTGATCCACTCAGGTGATGATTCCTGTACGTATGTATGTATGCTGTAAGGTGCCAAAAATAATACCTGCTGTAAGTCTATCAGCCCCCCAACAAGTTACAACAAAGCAAAGACCCTGGAAATGTCTGAAAGGCGTATGGTTACTGCATACTATTTAGCTAGAGGATCCCGACATTTCTTCACGACCCCCCACCGATCTCGGTAGGTACATTCAGGGTACAGTACCTAGGTTAGCCTAAATAACTTCACATGGGCTTTCTTCATGACGAAGGGGGAAAGTAAAGGGAGAAAAGAAAACATGCCGAGGCCAAGAAACTTGTGCAAAAGGAGGAGATAGTCATCATGCCAAGGTCTCGTCAACACTTTTTCTCTCTATCCACTTTGTCCACGGCAGGCATTTCTGGACTTTGTACAGCAGTACCTAGGCTAGCTAGTTGAGCTATGTACGTTCAGAATAGCTGCATATACATACAACTGTATCTAACGAAACGACGGCACAAAGTACAGCAGCAGTACGGCGTACTGTTTGTATTGCCTGCCTGCCAGTTCAAAATCAACTGGTTTGCCGGTGTATCTACTGCTGTACCCTTATTATCCACATCAAAGTTTACTGTCAGGTCCCCGGAGGACGCCGTCCAGATCGGCATGATCACGCTCTTGGCCCTTCCCTCAAGGCTGATTCTGATTTTCTTGTTCAAAACTTTACCCAAGTACAGCATACTTACAGCGGTACATGCAGCCTAATAACAGTATGGACCTACTTGCGAGTCATGCTTCGGCGAGTGTCTTTCGATATACCTACCTACCTACCCATACCCCATGTTGTACATCCATAGAGAGAATATACTACTCACATATGTATGCTGTACGGAGCTGTGAAAAATAGGTGGTACAAAGATCTTACCTAATACCAACTCCACTAGCAAAGCCCGATCTTCATCCCATATGCACGAAATAATAAAAACCACCGAGTCATGGGAAATTAGTCTAGAGAAGAAAAAGAGTCCCTCTAATTTACCTACACTTCCCCGCCCATCAATGACGCGAAAATGGCGCCTCCCCCCTCATCTACAGAAGTGACTTACAGAAAGTGAAGATGGAAGTATATCTCGTGGTAGCAGAAAGGGGGAGGGGGGCCAGCCTCCTCAGTTTCAGTTTCCACCCATCTACATACCGATATATCATAATCCACTCCGCGAGAAGAGGAGGAGAGAGGGTCGGTTAATTTACAGTAATGATGCTGTATACAGTATGTGACATTTATTCATTCGACAATCGAAAAAAAGCGTGGTGCGGAGAGGAGAGGAGAGCCAGGGCCCAGGCCAGTATCTAGTGTCTGACCCGCATTTGCAAGCAGGTATATCTAACTCTTACTATGTACCAGTAGACTAAGGCTAGATAGACTTTCCTCCCTTATTATCCTCGGCTACTGTAGTCTACTCCATTGTCCCGATAGGGGGGAGGGTGTGAGGCTAAAAAAGATACATACAGGCACACACTACACCCACAGGGAGGGAGAGAGAGACAGGTTCACACGAGAAGACAAGCGGTTGTATGAACACAGGGCGGAAGGGAGGAAGATGAAGAGATAGTGGTCTGGGAAGGAGAGCAGGGAAAAACAAGTGAGAAAGTGAATCAAGAAAAAAGACAAAGAAAAAAGTATACGGAACTTTGCTCTCGATCGGGGAATCGAACCCCGGCCACCTGCGGTTTGCTGTATTTCCTCGCTTTTCATCACTTATTATTTTCAATGAATCAGGAGACAGAAATTGACAAGCAGGTATCCTTACCACTAGACCAATCAAGACTCGGATGTATGTGAAGAGGCCCGTGTCTCTCAAGTCTTATAATTAAAAGCAAACAGGGGCGTGAAAAACGGCTACGAGAGGCTTCACACTTGGTTGTTTAAGTGTAGTGGTAATTATGTCGTGGTAATAAATAGACAGAGGGACTTCGAGACCGTTAGCTGAGAAAAATCAAAATCAACCTCCGGGTTTTGAGTTACCTAAATAAATAAATAATACATGGAGGAGGATGATAATAGGATACGAGACAGTAGGTTTAAGGTTAATCAGGTTGATTAGGTCATGATGAAAACTTCAAACAACCAGATTCTACGTGCAAGAGATGAGATGATTATATATTGACCTCTATCTAGTGTATGTTTCTGTATCATTTAAGTCTATGCTGCAAAAGACTTAATAACAAACCCCTCTCTCTCTCTTACACACACACTTTGCAAGCAAACGGTGACCAGCCCTGCTCAGGCTTCATCTACAAAAAGTAGAGTTGGCTGATCATGAATCATGTTCCCAAGTGCATACGTATATATGTGGTTCGTATCAGTCCCAACAAGCCTGATGGTGTGGTAATCAAAGAAGCAATACTCATGTCACTATATAAAAACGAAGAAAGAAACTAACCTAGCAAAAACTAAAATCTTTGCGGTCTCGGGATGTATTAACCCCTTTCCTTATTCCCTTTTTAAAAGTTTTACAGACATGTTGCAACTTTAGATTTTCACACCTTTGCAATGCTTCTGATATTCTGTAGTTGTTACGTGATTTACAGGCTGGCAAAGAGGAAGAGAAAAGCGGCAGAGTATCATGTCATGCCTCTATGATACATTGCATGTTATTGTGGCCTGGGCCTAGATACTTACACATGCTGTCCAATCGAACTGGCGAAAGGATTGCCATGGGAATTGTCGACTGATGATGCATTAAGGAGTAGGTTAATACCGTGAAAGAAAAGATCTTCTGTACGCCCACTATCTCCTTGAGAACTGGTATATGAATATCAACAATCCGAACTGGAAATATAAGTATAGCTAAGTAAATAGGTAGGTTAGCCATGTCGTCGGTCTCCGCAGAAAGTAGGTGCCTCTGAACTGTGTGATGTCGGACGAACATTGTCCAAAAAGGCAGTGAGTGGTGTAACCTGGGTGCAACGACCCGTCCTTCTATTGTTGTTGTGGAGTGCTGGTCCGCACATAGTTGCAACTTGCCACGGATTAGAACTTAACATACATACGAACATAAAAAGATTGTAGTTTATTCCGGAGGTTGAGGACTATCAGGGTCTTTTGTCATTTACTGTCAACCCGAAACTCCTTGAGTAAGCATCACTGCTCTCATCTTGATATGAAATTCGGCTTTCATCACACTCGCTAGCTCACAGTTTGAATACCCCAGGTGATTTAACCTAGCGAACATAAGCTTTCCAGCAGACTCCTTCAGATGCCGTGTTCTTGCTTTAGCATCGCTAGCTGGTCGACTACAGCTGCCACGACACTGCCAAAGGTCGTGGTCTTCGACAGTAAGGACACGAAGGGAATGTCTACCTGTACTGTCCGAATTGTCAATAGGAGGAGGAGGAGGAGGAGGAGGAGCGCGGCAGTCATATGCCGATCTATCTATCTTGAAGGGGGGGTAACTTACGAGCTTGGAAGATGAAAGTGCGGAATTCGGCGGCCAACATGGAATCGAGACCGAGGTTGGTGAGGGACTGCTCGTACTGAAGCTGGTCCGTGTTCATCATCATGATGTTGCTAAACTTGGCCGCCATGGCGTTGCCCACGGCGTCTTCAAGCGAAGTGCCTTCCAGGACTGCATCACGGATTTGTTGCGGAAGTTGGGTCTTTGACAGAGACGCTGCCGTGCCGTGGCGCTTTTTATGTCTCGGTTGTATGCACCCTTGAGCAACGCCGCCCTTGGGTCTTGGAAGAGAATGTCAAAGGCCATGCTGCTCGGGTCCATGGCTTGGGCCTTGGCCACTTCCATCTCGAGACCGGTCAGTCGATGCGCGCCCGCCAGGTCATAGTCGAGGTAGTAATCATCGTTGATGGAATGTGAATGCGCGATAGCCAGGTCGACAAGATGCAACAGCTCTCGTTCATTGATGGCCTGCAGGCCACGACGGCGATATACCACCTCCATCTGGGGGTGCTCATGCAGGTAGGTATCCAACCTCGGTGACGACTCCCAACGCAAGCGAGACGGCTTTGAGATGCCATGCGCGCCGGAACCGGGCAAAGTTGTCCTGGTAAGCGTTGGCAGCGCAGTAGCCTGGCTCGGTGGGACTTCCATTTGCCCAGCATGATACATCAGCGAAAGCCAGCACAGCAGGAGGAAGTCCGACCCTTACCTTTGCATTGAGCCCGTAGCACTTTGCGTCGACCTGGACTTCGTCTCCTACAAGTTCTGGTCGCCGCTGCGGCTGCGGCTCAAAGCACAGAGTGTCAAGCTGACCAGGTTCTCCTATCGTCAACTGCAATTCCCCTGCCCTGTCGACACTACACAAGAGTGGTTCCGCAACTTGTTTGGATCGGAACGTGTTGTTGAGAGCTTCGTCCGTATACCAGCGAGAGACATGGAGAGAGTGCCGTGACTTTCGACAAATTCACGTTCTTGAACCGTGCCAAAGAAGGCCTGTTGATAAGCTGGGACGATGTTGCCCGCTGTGACGGTAACACTGCTGGCCCCATCGTAGTCAAATACCGCAAGCTGCAACTGAGGCTCTTCTAGACGTATAGCCCGTGCTGCGCCCCAAGCAAGGGACATTCGGGCGCCGTAGGCTTTGCTGGCATACAAGCCAACACGTTACTATGTATAGCAACACCCTTATGCACAGCACTTATCCCCGACCCGACTCTTTCAGGCTTATAACGTCTAGACCCCTCCTTACTTACCTCTTTGGACTCCCGCCTTGAACTCCCTCTTTGAAATCTCACTCTGGAATTCCACTTTGGAACTCCTTTCCACCGTAAACAACCGGAATGGACGTCAGTGGTAGCCATCGTCATCGGCGCAGGTACTATGCTCAGTTTCCTCCGCGAGGCATGTCTATCATATCTTATCTATGGCTGACGTATGCGTAATTTAGGCAGCGGTATAGGCCGCGAATCTGCTCTGCTGTTCGCAGAAAGGGGCGCTCGAGCCGTCGTATTTGCTGATCAGGACATTGATGCTGTACAAACTGCATCCGAAGAAAGCAAGAGCATTGCATCTAATACGCATTACGAAACACTAGCTCTCCATATAGATGTCCGCGACCGGCAATCAGTCAGACGTGCTATTACGGAGGCAAAAGAGAAATTCGACAGACTTAGACTATGCCGTCAATTGCGCTGGGGCAAGTTGTAACCCCCTCGGCCTAACTCTAACCTTGAATCCCCTTGAGCCTGACTCTGACCTTTCCCCTCGAGCTCTCTCCCTCGGGCTTTCCTCCAAGCTTACTTGTCGCTAACCAGAGCCCATTCAATCCTTATCTAGATTCCACGCCAAACCGCAGCCGACTTAACGACAGTGGATGAGACAGAGTACGACAGCTTGCACGATGTAAACGCCAAGGGGGTTTTGCACTGCTTGCAAGAAGAGATCAGCGCCATGAAGGATCAAAAGCCTCTGTTTGCTAACGGCGGGTCTGGCGAACGCAGCATTGGGCCCGGATCTATTATCAATATCACTTCACTGTCGGCAGTATTTGGCACTGCGCAGTCTACTACATATGTTGCTAGTAAATTTGCAGCGCGCGGCATCATCAAGTGTGCTGGTACGTCTGTCTTTCTTAGCTCGTCACCTGTTTGTTACCCAACGTTACCGCTCTCCTGTCTGTTGACTGACGATAGTTTTTTCTTTTTCTTTTTTTGCCTCTAATCAAGCCCTCGAAAATCGCGCCAGCGGGCTCCGCACCAACGAGGTCTGCCCCGGGTTTACCAACACGCCCATGCTGCAACGCGGGATCGAGAAGCAGCCGGAAATAAAGGACATCCTCAATAAGTCGATGCCGCTTGAGCCGCGTGGCAACGCCCGAAGAGATTGCCAACGTCGTCCACTTCCTGGCAAGCCCCGGCGCAAGCTTCGTCAACGGGCAGTCGATCGTCGTCGACTCTGGAGTGTCAGTCAACATCCTTGCTTAGTTAAGTCATGAGCAAAAAAGCCAACTGGGTCTGTTAGGTCTGGATCCAAGTACTGAAGAAAAGGGCTGGTCAACGGGTGCTTCGGGGAATGATCTTTCTTTTCCTCCTGTGGACCTCGCAAAATACATTTGACCTGGTAGCGCCAGAGCAAAGTCTGCTGTCAGCCTGCCGCTAATGAAAAGATTTCCCAATCCTGGAGGTGCAGTTACAACTTTAGATTTGCAGACAACGCGAGGCTGATAAGGCAGGTTAAATGAGGTTGAGGGCGCAGGTAAAGTGAGGTCAAGGAGCCAGGTAAAGTGAGGTTGAAGGCTAAGGCAATGTGAGGTTGAAGGAGGGCCAGGCAACGTGCGGAGGCAACGTGCCCAAAACAGTATATCGTATTCGTGTTTAGCAATGGCGGTTGTTTTCGCGACAGGGCCAGAACCAAATGTCCAATTTCTGCAACTTTTTCTTTCCTGACCCACAAAGCAAAAGGGAGACCGCAATATGTAACACAATTTGCAGTGCTCCAACAACAAGCACCAATCGGCCGGCTAAGTCGGTCAAACATCTCGATTGGTCTAGTGGTAAGGATACCTGCTTGTCACGCAGGTGGCCGGGGTTCGATTCCCCGATCGAGAGCTTCGTTTTTCCTTTTTTCTTCATACTCGCAGCAGGTTTATCCTTTTAGCATTCTCTTCTTTTTTATCACGAGTCATGGTCGAGTTCAATTTTTTTCCCTTCAAATCCACTCACCAAAAACTAATATATAATCTCTCTTTAGGCGCAGCTCACTCATCCAAGTGTAAAGACTCTATATCTTGATTGGTCTAGTGGTAAGGATACCTGCTTGTCAATACTCTTCTAACCTAACCATCATCTGTTGTGGTTGATAGAGAGTTGTAGCAAAGCGCAGGTGGCCGGGGTTCGATTCCCCGATCGAGAGCATCTTTTACTTTTTCCATGTCTTGTCTATTTTTTTTTTCAAGTCCACGGCCTGTGTGTGTTTTGTCTGTTGCTCTCGGAGTTTGCTGGTTGTCATGCAGTATCATCTATCTATCCCAAGACACTGAAACCTCCTTTGATTTGTTGATCTGGTTGCGTAATTTTTGTCGTCCTTTTATATGTTGTGTTACACGACTTAGGCCGCCGATTCTGGTGTCAACTCTTTGCTTCTATTCTCACTGTGTCTATTGGCTCATAAGAAAGAACCCAGAGTGACAATCAGGTGGGAAAGAAAGCAAGTCGTGAATTAACACAGCAAAAATCCGCCGTGGTTATAAGATATTGAGGATAGAGGTGGTGAGTGTAATAAAGACACTGACACAATGAGCAAGCAGTACATGGGAAAAAAGCCAAACCTGTATTTTGCATAGCGGAGTAATGGTACAGCCAGCCGCATTTGTTTTTCCCTTCTCTTCCGTCGCCAGGAGGAACGTTGCTTGAGGAAAGTCTCCGACATCCATACGAATATATATATCGCTTGCTCTGGGGCTTCCAGAACAGTGACAAGTCTGCTTGCTCCTTGTGCGATGAAACACAGTGTTGCATATGATATATATCCCTTAACCACAAGACAGGGCACACACACAAAGTCCTCCTCACCCTGCATTTGCCTCAGATGTATGTATAAGGAAGTAGCGTTGCATGGCCAGAATTAACCCACCTACCTCTGAATAAACAGGACAACGAGGTATAGCAAGTGAAAATATGTAAAACGACGGGCAAAGAAAGAGAATGTACTTTAAAAAAGTAACTAAGTTTCATTTCCCCCATTAAACTAAAGTAATAATAGCCGTAAAACCAGACTCATCTAGGTTATAAAGCTATGTATGTATCAGCAGGTTGAAAGCGAGCAAGAGAGCTTTCATCAAGCAGGTCGATCAGGTCAGGTGGAAGGGCTTCCAAACCCCTTTCTTTAACCTTACTATCAAGCAACACAATTCACATCCTCCCTCTAGTCTAGGTACATATCTCCCGAAAAAGGAAAGATCAGCAACCCCCCCTTTCCCTCTTCCACTCCTTCCTCCTCCTTCTCCCCATCAACTTCGGAAAAAAGCACGTCTAGCAAGTGAAGACGCTCGGGCCGGCGGGCTGGTAAGCGGCGCCGCCGTTATTGTAGATGTTGATGAGGATGCCCGGGTCTGTGGCCTTGTAGGCGCCGGGGAAGGAGACGAGGTTTGTCGGGGTCTTGGATCCCGAGCCGCCGGAGACGGTGATCTGGGCGCACGAGAGGTAGAACTGGGCGCCGCCGACGGAGCTGGCGCTGTGGAGGGCGACGTGCTCGATGCGGAACAGGTAGTCGCCGTTGGCGAGGCACTGCGGGATCGTGAAGCTGACCTCGGACTTGCCGTTGGACGGCCAGACGTACTGGCCCTGGCTCACGCTCGGGTAGTCCTGGTACACCTTGAACCAGACCGCCCCGCTGCCGTCCCACGTCGCCGCCGTCTGGCCCGAGGGGACCTTCGCCATGTACGCCGACAGCGCACCCGGGTGGTAGATGCTCGGCGCCACCTCCCACGTGATCTGCCCGCCCGCCTTGACAGGCGTGATGGACGAGGCCCGCCCCGACGGCGACAGCTGGTAGCACCGGATCGCGTCGCTGGAAACGTCCGTCACGGGGCCGTTGCTCTGGAAGTTGGCCGTCTGCCGGACCGAGGACCAGTCGGATGTGCCCTGGAGCTTGGGGAAGGTGTCTATTTGAGTCTTGTTAGTCTTTTACTCTTCGCTCTATCTCTCTTTCTTCTTCTCTTTCTCTCTTTGTTTCATGATGATATGGACAGCGTGTGTTGTATCTGCGTGAAGCTCCCGAGAGCAGTTGAGTTTTCATGGACGTGTATCCAGTGAACACAACAGGAAATACCATTGCCAAATGCGAAGAAACAACACAAAACCAATTCAAACCACCAAAGAACCACAACCACACAGCTTTCTTGTACAAACCCATCTCATACCCACACGCCATCCACCACTCACACCCACACTCACACTATCAAAAAATAAAAAAAGGAACCCAAACACCAAAACCAAAACAGAAAAAAATAATAAGTAAAAAAAACCACCTACAGTGGGGAGCGGCCTGGGCAGCGCCAGCCAAGAGCGCAAGGGCAGTGAAAGCCTTCATCTTGTCACTTTTTCTCTTTCTTTTCCTTTATCAACTAGTCTTGAAAAAAACGACGGCGACGATCCGGAAGAGAAAAGAGGGGGGCAAGAGATCAACAAAACAGAGGTCGACGAACAACAACACAAGAGATGATGAAGAAGAAAGATCGTCGAAAAGCTCGAACGAAATATATATTATATCTATCCTAACCTACTACTATCCATCTACCCGTCTCTCGATCCCGGGCCCCGGTGGCCATGGCATGCATTGCATAGAACGTGAGCGAAACAAGAACAAGCAAGAAACAACCCCCCCCCCAAGCTATACTGTACTATCCATCTAGTCTATCTAGTATGATACAGCAACCCAACAAGATGCAATGCATCCGGAATGCATCCGGAACGTCCAAAAGTCGACAAGACAAAAAAAACCATGTGATCCCATAGTATAGTACATACGCGTGTGTATGATGATGCCATCTTGTTTCCCCCCATATCAATCTCCAAGTCTGTACTTGTATAAAAAACAAGGCCCATAACTCCGAAACGGAACGTCTTCTTCCTTTCCTCTCTGCAACCCCAGACAGACAAGTCCAAAGACCAGGCAGAACCAAGAGAGCAAAGCAAAAGAAGTCCGGATAAAAGTGAAAAATTGGCCGGATATATTACCCTTTCGTCCATTCACGGCCCGTCGAGCAGACGTTGATTACCCACTTTGGCACAGCGCCAATGAACTCGGCATTGAGAAAAAGTCGGGACTTAGCAGCTCAGCATCCCACGATCGGATTCATCGGAAAGGCCAGCATTCCCGAACCGGAGCAGTGACGTCGACGTAGTGTCGAAAATGGTTTACAAAGCCCGGTGGACATACAACATTAAGAGCCCACTCCATCACTATCCAGGATATTAATAGACATCACGATGCATATCAGCATGCCATCACGTACATATTGGCGCTTTAAACCCCGATTCAAAATAAACACATTAGGGCTAGCTTAGCTACCTACTTATCGAGTACCTAACTAAGATGGCCAGACCACTTTGCCTCCTCATCGGATCGCAAAGTATCTACACCGATACATCCTCTTCATGGACGTAGCGTCCCATTCTAGAAACATGTCAGCAAGTTATGAGCCACTTGTCCCTGCACTGCAGGTAGACAAGACCGTCAGTTGCCTCTTCAGACGCCCCCCTGCAAGATATGAAAATGCCCTATTCAGTTCGTCCCAGGATGACTGTCTCTCTTGCTTTCTTAACTTTCATGTCGAACTCCTCAGACACATCTGCTCATAGTGTCAAGGAGAGAGAAATGCCTCTCAAGCGTCGTATAGGCTCGGCCGGGGAGAGATGCACGGCTCCACGCGAGCCAATATTACCATGTCTAATCAACCATACCCTCTAGACAACGCCGTTTGTGCTTTTGTAAAAGAAAGAAACAACATAAGCAATCCCGCGAACCTGTACAGTGGTATCAAATGGTCGCGAACTCTCAAAGGGCTCGCTCGCACAGTCGAGCGTTTACCATCGTCGGTTACCGAGAGGCATGGCGTTCGCACCATCTCCGCCACCGCCCCTGTGGCCGCCTGACGAAAATCGTTTTAGCTTCCAGTCCGAAACATGCAAGCCCTTAGTAGCGGGACCTACCACCACGACCACCGCCGCCACGACCTCCGTATCCACGACCACCGTAGCGGCCGCCCCCACCGCCACCATAGCGCACCATCTCAGCTAATCTGGGGTCGATCTGCTGCTTGGCCTCCTGAAGGATGCCGACGAGGTCGCGAGCCTGTTTCGAGTCTGGAGAAGTATCATGTTAGTTCGCTGCAGATAAGGCGGAGAACGAGGGCGAGAAGGAGGGGGGGTCTTACTATCAGTAGTAAAGAACGTGATGGCGGTACCCTTGGCGCCAGCACGGCCGGTACGGCCAATACGATGAATGTAGTCCTCCGAGTTGTTCGGATAATCATAGTTGATCACGTGGGTGATGTTACGAACGTCTTTTGATCACAAACAAGGTTAGCTTCAGAAAACATCGAGACTGCTACGGTGCAAGTCCCAGCGGTGGCCATTGGATGTGCCATAAAGCATATTGCTCTCCGTGCTTTTCTCCTTGGAGAATGGGGCTGTCTGTTGCATCAACACTGCCAGTATGGAACGATCCCAAGGTCCAGTCTGGGTCCTCGGGAATCGGGAATCTGCGGAGATAGCTTGACAGAATCAAGAAATTGCTCAACTTCGCACGCCTGTACCACGGGGGCCGAAGGTACAAGGGCGAAACACAACGACACGGCCTTCCCCGCGAGAGAAGAGGCCATGCCATACCAGAGATCCCGATATTCCAGGGTGAGGAAGGACCACGAGACACGTCTAGGTCAGGCATACATGTGCGCAATCAAGAGAGCCCCTAGACATCACAGTCAAGCACATCGGATATAACTCTGCTGGAAGTTGTGGGGGGGAGGAGGGGAGGGGTCAGGGGGGGTCTTTTATCATACCAATACCACGCGAAGCCACGTCCGTGGCAACCATGATGGGACTCTTGTTGGTCTTGAACTCGTTCAGAACCCAGTCACGCTCGTTCTGCTGCTTGTCGCCATGGATCGCTGTGAAGTGCCATGTTAGCGAGATCGAAACGGGGAAAATGTTTGAGGGGCCCGAGGCAAAACTTACAAAGCGCCGGCCATCCGTCCTGGCGGAGGAATCGCGTGATCTCGTCCGCAACACGCTTGGTACCTACGAAGATGAGGATCTTGTTGTCCTTGTTCTCGTCCATGACCTTCTCGAGGTGCTTGATCATGCGATCACGCTTCTCGCCCTCCGAGACCACCTCGACGATCTGAGTGA